TTTGGAAAGTTATTTCCCAGATCATCATAATTACTTGTTTCACATTTTTATTTCTCAAATAGTTCAATTATTTTTTAAAATAAATTCTAATATTTAATACAGAAACTCCCCTTTCACTCCATAATGCTAAAAAACGCTATTTATTTTAGCAGAACATTAAAAACACTATCAAAGCAAATGAAATGTCTCGAGCGTAGCATTTTTCAGTCATGCTTGGCTCATGTTCGGATTTCCAATCATTTAAATGGAACCTTTAATATGAGTTAAAAAAATCATTTGAATTCTCTGGGAAAAAAGAAAAACAAATCGTATAAAAAAAAAAGAAAATAAAAGAAAGAAAACCATTTGAATTCATGGAGCCATTTTCAATAATAATAACATAATATAAGGAAGAAAAAGAAAAGGCCAATGTTATGGAGTTCTATGAATTTACACTCTTAATATTGAAACATAACTTTATTGATACCTCTAAAAGGGATTTCTTAGGGAGGACTTTGGAAGAAGCATATGATAATTCACAACGGGGTTAGCTTTAGGGCTTTAAGATTAAAATAAGTCACTGGATTATTATTTTGAAACAATATTACTCTCTCTATCCTTAAATGTTGCAACTAATTGAGAGATTTATTTTAGCATTAAGTACAACATCTCAATTTAATTTGTTTTCCAAATTTATAATTTTTCTTTAAATTATTTTTAATTATTGATTACATATATCAAGTGAAGGTTAATAAGAGTATATCAAAGAAACCAGCACAACTTTTTTTACGAATAACCAATTGAAATAATTTTTTTATTTTTATAACTTAATTATCTAATTTTTATTTTTAACAATTCCCTGTTTGATACATGACAACGAGGGGTTAGGGTTGGGATTGACCTCGTTTTGCTTTGTTTCGCATGAGAGATCAGAAGCAACTTGGAATTAGGCAACATAGGTAAAGATTAAACAATACCGCCTATCCCTCGGCATTGATAAAAGCCTCCCTTGGATTGGCTTTTATAAGTGTTTACAAAGATAAAACTCCTTTTAAATACTAATTTTATTTTGTATTATTTTTTGTTCTAATTTGTTTGTATCTTATGATTGGAATCAAGCCAATATTTGGGACAAAATCATCGCTGTTCACATCCTACAGTTGCCCTCACCGCACCACCCCCATCTTCTCCGATGACAACACCCCCAATCTTCATCGACCCCTACGATCAGCAGAGCCACCGTCTCCAAGACCAATAGCCACCATCTCCTCCACCGTCATTCACCCCTGCCCTCCTCCTCCACCTTCCCTTCTGATGCCACATTCCAATCGCATATGGGTCTAACTAAAGCCGGGTCTTCTTCCCCCTTTGACGACACCCTACGACTCCGACGGCGATATTGGGTCCCTCGTAGGCGACTTCCGACGCCATTTCATGCTCTCTTTCAAGTCCTAAGCCAACGTCCCCTAGATTAGATTTGAATCCATAAGAAAAGGAATAGCTCAAGCTAACAAGTCGCATCAAGAAGTCAATACATTAGATCTATAATCCATAAATCAAACAATAGGAAAATCATAGCGCCGTCTATCCTTCTTGTCGATTCTAAATCCAAAAATCATGAGCTAGAAAAAGAGAGGGGGAGACACCGGTTCGGCTTCACCATATCTACAAACCCAGATTTGTTCGACTTCGCCATCTGAGAACAAGAAGACGAACTTCACTACGGCATCGAGAGAGAGAGAGAGAGAACCATCACGACATAAGAGATTCACGCAAGCTTCATCTGAAGGAGAAGACAGGAAAGGAAGGGTTACCACGACCAAGAGGGGCAGAGACGAGCGGCGCGCCCCCTTTTTTTGGGTTGTTTAATAATAAGGGTACTCTAGTCTTTTTATAATTCATAACTGATGATAAAATAATAAAATAATAAATATTGTAATAAAATAATAAAATAAAATTAATATAAGCATTACCTTTAAATATTTTGAACGCAGCTTTGCCATAATGGCTTCTGGCGATTTGGTTTGGGCACCATGCATGTAACCAAATAGTCAGAGGTTCGACTTGGCAGAAAAGAAGAAATTAAACATAATCTTAAAATCTCATTCTCACGGTCTCACCCCCCAATCTCACTCTGATCCCCGACGTCAGCCCCATTCTCAATCCACCAAATGTCAGGCCTACATACCAAACAGGGATGTTTGAACAAAAAAGGTAAAACCTTATCAACAACCCATCTTCTTTGAAACTTATAGGGTGTTTGGATACTTTAAAAGTATTTTCTAAAAGTATTTTTTTTTATAAATCAAAATAAATTTTTTTACATATTGACTCGTATGTCATAAAATCACTTTTAAAATTATAATTTGGTTTCTATCCAAACATCTCTTTAGATGTCATTTCACGTTGTAGGAGCTTTGAGGAAATAACACTTCTAGGAAAGTTAATGAGTTATAGGATAAGATGCGTAAATGTTAAATATTCTGAAAGTATTTATGAGAAAATACCCAATATCTGAAAAAAATTTTCTTCTTATATGCTTTAGAAGTTTTATTTCGCAGCATTTCTGTCCTGAACCATTATCTACTGTTAAATTTGACTGTTATGAACACTGGTTAAACAGCATAATTTAATGGTAAGACCTAACATCGAATAACGACTATGATACTTTTACTACGAAAATAGACTTTCAGGGTATATAAGAGCAAAAAAAATTTTTACATGCTAGGTGCTTAGTCATGAATACTTTCAAAGTATTTAAGTAGCTTATCTTTTTTACCAACATATTTAAGTACATTGTCTAGTAATTTATTTCTGTTTTATTATTATTTTTTAAATTATGAGCTCCCATCACAACCCGGAATGTAACTTTCTGGATATAGTGGCAATGTTTTATTAGGCTTTTTGGGCGGATGATGTTGGGTGGGACCTGAATTTTGTAGAAGGTTCTCCCAGGGTCTTATATAAACAAATAATTTAAAAGAATATTATTTCTTGAAATAAGTAATTATCCATACGAGTGATAAAAATAATATAATCAATTTCTTCCAAAAAAATTGACCAGGAAAAAAATTTCCAAAACAAAACACTTATCTATCGTATCATATTTTAAAATTCAAACCAGATGCCCTACTGCACCAAACTGAAAAAGTAAATCACATTATTTGCAACATGTGATCTTCGTATAAGCTATATTTATAAAAATTATTATAAAATGATTGTATAGTAAAAACATGCAAACCACTCCAACGCGACCCAATAATTTAAAACATAAAATTTTCGTTTCTAAAATTAAAATTGCAAAAGCAAAAAAAAAAAGGAATTTTTTGTCAAGATAAACATATGAATATTTAAAATAATAATATAATAAGTGTACTTTGTTTTTTAAAAATTTTAAAATTTATTGGGATAATCCAAAAAAAAAAAAACTTTTGAATTTCAAAATTTCAAATTTGTCTTACTTACTACATTTTAATGATAATTGACAACGTTTGAAAAGCAAATCACAATATATTTTTGTAGTCATTTTTGATTTGGGATTGTAAAATTTTAGAGGTATTTTTTTTTTTGTTGGGATTTTGTCAAATTTCTTTATTAGACCATGTACTTTTTAGAGTATTATATAAAAAGCATATAGTTATCATGTTTAACTATCAAATGCATGAAAAAGAATTTAAATATTTTATTACTAGCCATATGTATCATTTTATTGGAGGCAATCCTATTCGAGGTACGATTGAACACTAAATATGGATACTTATCTTAATAAGAACTCAAACCATAGTTCACCATGTTATAAAAGACTAATTTTTTTTTTTACTAGATCTAAACCATTGGTAGAATTTAAATATAGATATATTTGATAGACACATGTATTTTTTTTATTGGATGCAATTCTGATTAAAGCATTGTAGGGCCTTAAATATGAATACTTCTTTTAATAAGGATTCAAATCTTAGTTTACTACACTGTGGGGATTAGTTTTTTTTATTAGATTCAATCTCTTTGGTAATTTAAATATTTTATCATAATGACTCCTATATGGATCATATCGGGGCTTGATTCGCTTCATTTGGGCCCAGTTGTTGGGCCAACTATTGAAGACTGGCCCATGATTATTAGGAGTCCATGGGCACTAAAATTGAGCGTAACACTTCATTCTGAGTAAGGAAATTTGTTACAACAAAAAACTAATATTGCTGGTTAAAAAAAACAAATATAAATAAAATTATTTGAGCCTAATACATGCCGACGTGTAGCAATGTGAGGTACGAAAAAATTTGGGATTTCTTCGCAGACAAAATAGAATATGGATCATTCCATTACTTAATCTAATAACATATTTATAAACCTTACATTAAGCAAAAGAATTGAAGTTTTCTTGTTGCTATAATCGTCGGTTAAAGCAAGTTTTTTCTGGTTATATTTATAAAAAACTAATAGGCTTATATCAACTAGTCGCCAATCAATTTGATCATTCAGGTCCAAAAAAAAAAAAATCAATTGATCATTAATACATATAAAATTTATAGCAGGCAAAATATTTACATGATCTCAATAGATCATATCTTTACTTCTTAATTGGATATATTTTTATTTTAAATATAAGTTTTTAATTTATTTTGTATTTCAAATTTATAATTTTTTTTTACAAATAACTAAATGGATATTTTGGAAAAATCATCTCCAATTTTTATAGGACTGTACGGACAATTACTTTAAAAAAATAATTTTCTTTCAGCAGCAGGACTAAAATACCCCTCCAACTAATTGGAATGTCGGTAATGCCACTGGTAAGTCGGAACCGGGCCGTGATGAGTACGCACATTACAGAATCTTCAGCCCTAATTTTATGATCAGAAATTAACCGCCTATTAGCGGTAAGAGCTTGAGGGTGACCGGGAAGCGGCCGTCAATGACCATAGGCAACCCAAACCCAAATCCAAATGCACAATGTGCCGAAGTTATAATTTTTTCTTCGAAAGAGTTTTTTAATGTGTTATTTTTCATCTGCATATCCGCACATACGCACATCACATTGTGTGCTCTCACGTTCATTTCTCTCTTGGTGCATTGTCTCTACCCACTTCTGGATTGTATTTCTGCCCAGGAAAAAAGAAAAAAAAACGGGTTATTAGTAAATAGATAGATGGATTGGAGAAAAAGATTTTGAACTGAGGAGAGGTTCTTGCAATTTGTCTATCATCATCAACATCATCTTCTCTGATTGTTGTTCCCGAGGATCAAAGGGACCTCCCGAAACCGCTCGTATAGAAAAAGAGCCTTTTTTTTTTCTCTCTCTCTCTTCCTTGTGCGGGTTTCATTTGTTGTCTTTGGCCGTTGCTGGGGGCGGAAGCTTGTTGGGGAGGACTTTGCAGTTCGGCAACCTCACGATCACTTTGTAAATTTCGGCTTTGAATCCTCTTCTTTTTATGTGCTCCATATAATCTTCATGTTGCTTTACATTGACGTAATTCAAAATTTGCTTTTATTCTTTTGCTAGGATTTGGCCCTTCGGAGGTGATCTGCCTCTGAGGTTTGAGGTTGGAATTCTTGCTTTTGTTCCTTTTATTTGTTAATTTCCTCTGGTTAGATCTGTTGTCTGCTTGTTGCTTTTGTTTGAATGAGCAACTTGGGCTTGTAGGATTTTGAATATAATCGGAGTTCAGAGCATGATTTGGTGTTGAAGAGAGCGAGAGTTTTATTTTGGTTTCTTGCTGGAGATGAAGAGGTCTAGAGACGATGGTTATGTGAGCTCTCAACTCAAACGGCCCATGGTGTCTTCAAGAGCGGAAGCGTAAGTTCGAATGCTTTTATTGCCTTCAATTTTATGTTTCTTGGATTACGGTCGCACTTTCTCCTGTGCTTGATTAAACAATTGAACCTTCAACTGAGTGATTAAGCCTTTTAATTTTAGCGGTGGTGAAATAATGCGAATATTTTGGTCTGTTGGTGAATTCAACGAATACACATCGTTATACTCTACGGTAGTTTGGTTTTCTCATCTTTGTTTTAGGTTTAGTCTCTCGTGAAGGTTTTTATCGCTATTAATGTTTTTGTTAACGTTAATGTTTGACTTTGTGAGTAAGATCGGACGTTGCTTATTACTTTGATTTTAAGAAATATATTTTTGTATCCTGACGCCGTTTTCATGATCCTCATCACCAAAGTCATCTGTATGATAATGTGCTGAGTACTTTGACAATTTCTCAATTGGTTTAATATTTATCTACTCTCGTTAATGTAGCCCGGGGCAACCCCAGATGATTGGCGGAGGTGCTCAGAAACTAACAACTAATGATGCTTTACTCTATCTCAAGGCCGTCAAGGAAATGTTCCATGACAAGAGGGAAAAATATGATGACTTTCTGGAAGTCATGAAAAATTTCAAGGCACAAAGGTATGATCACGCTATTCAACTTTTGCTTCCTTGTCCTCTGACCTCGACTTTCCTCATTTTTTATTAATGTATTCTCTTGCAAGAAAAAATGTTGGCTTAATGGCTTTGTAAGCAGAAATTGACGCGTCTGCATTTTTTTGGTACATTTATAGAATTGACACTGCTGGTGTCATAGCAAGAGTGAAGGAACTGTTTAAAGGGCACAAGGATCTAATATTGGGATTCAACACCTTCCTGCCGAAAGGATATGAAATCACACTTCCACTGGAGGAGGAACAGCCTCCTCAAAAGAAGCCTGTTGAATTTGAAGAAGCTATAAATTTTGTGAACAAAATTAAGGTGAAATGCTTTTTAGCTTGCAAAATTAAGACATATCATCTATTACCACACAAAAGGAAGGAGGAGTATGACACAGAGTTGACTTACTTTTAATTCTGATGTCTTTTTTTGATGCAGGCTCGGTTTCAGGGCGATGATCATGTTTACAAATCTTTTCTAGACATATTGAATATGTACAGAAAGGAAAACAAGTCTATCACTGAGGTCTATCATGAGGTCTGTTCATTCTATGTGCTTTCTGTGCGTTTACATCACTATGAAAGTCATTTTGGCAAAAATCATGGGCAAAACACATGGTCATTATGGGGAAAAATGGTATTGAATCCGTACATGGGTTTTCTGTGGATCCCACCTGCCTGTACAGATGAAATCTCATCTGTTAGTTGTACATCCATGTATACGAAAGAATTGCTTCAAATTTTGTTATGTTGGTTGTACAGCAATGTAGTTCTTTTTTCGCTTTGAACTTTCTTTTTATGCACAATTTAATCTTGTGTTGAAATTCTTCAGGTTGCTGCTCTTTTCCAAGACCATCAAGACCTCCTTGTTGAGTTCACTCACTTTCTTCCAGATGCTTCAGCAGCAGCTTCTGCTCATTATGCTCAATCTGCTCGGAACTCCTTGCTTCGTGATAGGGGCTCTGCAATGGCAGTGCGTCAAATGCATGTTGACAAGGTTCTTCTCATCATACATATATGTCCCTCTGGATCAATAGTTTTTTATTGGGCTAACGTTTAATCATCTCTATGCCAGAGGGAAAGGACCATGGCCTCACATGACCGTGAACATAGTGCTGATCATCCTGATCCAGATGACAGAGGTTTTATGAGGACAGAAAACGAGCTAAGGAGGCGTGGCGAGAAGGAAAAAGACCGTAGGGACGATAGAGACAGGAAAGAGCGGGGACGGGATGATAGAGATTATGACCATGATACTAGTCGGGACTACAGTATGCAGGAGTTTCCCCCACAAACCAAAACATGGTGGTAGGGGCGATGATTTTGGCACTGAACCTCTGCATCAAGGAGGTGATGCTGATGAACATTTTGGTCTGCGCAGTATGTCATCGTCTTGTGATGATAAAAGTTCTGTGAAAAGTGAGTTTATCAATACAGAGAGATCTTAAATTGACCAATATGATTTTGAATTTATTTTTTCCTTGTCAGACCAATTCTAACAATGTTTTAGCAGTGGAATATTATGCTTAAATCCTGTAAGATGTGTCAAGTGCACTTTGAAATTGGAAGGAATAAATGGGGAATAAACAGACACACATTTCATCTTGAAAATTCATATTTAGTGCAAAGAGTTGCCTCCATTTTTCTGCCACTTGCATTCCAGAAGGATTTAAAATAAAGATGCTCTTTTGTGCTGATTGGATTATCCATAACTTAACGAAGCAAACTACTATGTTTTTGCTGCTATTGTTTTAGACGTCCTATCCTGTCTCATACCCCCCCCCCCCAAAAAAAAAAAAGAAAAGCGAAACTATCTGGTGCTATGCCTAATCATGATAGAAAAGGGTTGAAATGTTGTTAGCCAACTTTGAAATGTTATGAGCTCAAAGAAACCCTATACAAATAGTTAGAATTTAACAAAATGCTTGAGAATATGTTATACAATGACTTATACTTGTTAAACTTCGAATATATATTTTTTCGATGGCAAAGTTTATATATTATGGTATTTTGTAATAGTGAATATTAATTATTTTGTAAATGTGCAAGTATGCTTTCTTTTATTAGTAAATGTGCTGGTACTATAAAATTTTGCATTAATTTATTGTCATAGCTTTTTATTGCAATGTTGTATCCATATATGTGCATTAAGACATGGAATGTTTTTATTATTGATGTTTTGAGGTTGTTCAGGGGTAGAGAATCTTTCTTGTTTTACTTAAAAGTCTTTATGCAAATTTATGTGTTGGGCTTTTTGGTTCTTTGTATAATCTTTTGAGCTGCGTTTCTTTTACACAGGTTCTTTCCTTTTACACATTGTCATCTAACTTGGGAGTTCTGTTTGTCTTAGGTATGTATAGTCAAGAGTTTGCTTTCTGTGATAAAGTCAAGGAGAAATTACGGAACCCTGATGATTATCAGGAATTCTTGAAGTGCCTGCATATCTATAGCAGGGAAATAATCACGCGTCAAGAATTGCAGTCATTGGTACGCTTTTGTATATAATCTGCATGGCATATCATCACATACTATCAATATGATTGGATTAAAAAGTTTTACTATTCATTTGTTTTGACTGATACTTATCATAGACTAGGAAGTGGTTACTAAACATCTTTGTTTTGGGGTATCCTCTATATCTTGGGTAATGCTGATCCGAGCAATTTTTGTTGGAGTTTTACCCCACTCTCCATTATTTCTTTGGATTTAAAGTCATAGGGCCAAGCTCTGACAATTTGTGATTATTATGGAACGTGATTATAAAATTTTGCATAGAAGAGGAATCAGTCTATAGCAAAGAGAAATAGATTGTTAAACAAGACTTGGAGACAGTTGCATGGAAAATGCTAAATTGTGTGTGAAAGGGACTAATTGTGACCATTAAATCTGAGGCATAAAGCAATAGGCTATGTTATTTTTTAATTAATGATTGGATTTGGAAGTTAAGTTTTAACGTGGACTATTTACTGTTTACTGATGTCTTCTTGAAAATCCTTCTTAAATACTTGCTAGCATTTTCCCTGCTGGATTTTTTTTTTTTTTTGGTGGGGGTGAGGGTTAGATGACAGTAGTGTGGGAATTGATGAAAGATTCTCATGCAGTCACTTCAGTTATTAATGTGGCACTAAAAAAATATAAGTTAAATTTTTTATTTTATTTTTTGCAATCATGGATCAATTTCCTGAGTTTAATAATACTTATATACTGAAAGTTATTCCTGTTCCCATAAATCACCTATTTAAGCTCAAAAGACAGCGTTGAAATATGATGACTACTTATGGGAATCTTGTTCTTCCAGGTGGGGGATTTACTGGGAAAATATCCTGACCTTATGGAGGGGTTTAATGAATTTTTGGCAAGATGTGAGAAGAATGGTAATGAATTTATGGAGGGATTTGTTACTTTCTGACATGTTAAATTTTTGAAATGATTTCTAACTGCCCTTTTCACGCAGATGGATTCCTTGCTGGTGTAATGAATAAAAGTACGTGAACTGTCTACTTTTTATCACTGTCACTATGATAGATGCCTCCCTTTTCTGTCATCTGGACTGCTGATCCATTTAAACATTTGCTTCTTTGTCGTCTGGTTCAAAACTTCTGACTGTTTTATTTTCATTAGAATCCTTGTGGAATGAAGGACATGCACCAAAATCAGTGAAGGCAGAAGATCGGGACAGAGATAGAGATCGTGATCGTGGTCGGGATGATGAGGTTAAAGAAAGGGATCGTGAATACCGAGAAAGGGACAGATCTGCTGCCATTGCCAACAAGGATGTTTCAGGTTCTAGGATGTCTATATTATCCTCCAAGGATAAGTATATGTACAAACCTATAAATGAGTTGGACCTATCTAACTGTGAGCGATGCACTCCAAGTTACCGGCTCCTACCAAAAAATGTATAATTGCTTTACTTTTTCCTTCCCCCCCCCCCCTACTGTTTAATTGGATTCTCAGGCTCCGTAGCTGTTTTGTTTGTCATATACATTATTTGTGCTTTTGTAGTACCCAATACCTGTGGCCAGCCAGAGAACAGAGCTTGGTGGTGAAGTATTGAATGATCATTGGGTATCTGTGACATCTGGAAGTGAAGACTATTCTTTTAAACACATGCGGAAAAACCAGTATGAAGAGAGCTTGTTTCGATGTGAAGATGACAGGTTGGAGCTTGCTAGAGAATTTTTAACCCTTTATGATTCCTGTTAGATTAATTATTATTTATGGTTGAAGTGATAGTTTCTGTTTTGTTCTGGTTTTTTGGTTCATTTTGACTTGCCAAATAGATTATGAAATGTGATTTTCCACAATCCGTTACGTGCACTTGCTGACGTTATTTTGACTATACTGGCAGATTTGAGCTTGATATGCTGTTAGAATCTGTGAATGTGACAACAAAGCGAGTAGAAGAGCTCTTGGAAAAGATCAACAATAATATAATCAAAACAGAATGTCCAATCCGAATTGAGGAGCACTTAACAGGTTATATCAATGGAATTTTATAGAGCTTATATGCCGTTTGAAATAATATCTTGATGTTTCTCATATTCTAATTGGATTCTTTTCTCTATCATTTTAGCTTTAAATCTTAGGTGCATTGAACGCTTATATGGTGACCATGGGCTTGATGTAATGGAAGTGTTAAGAAAGAATGCTCCTCTAGCTTTGCCAGTTATACTGACCCGCTTGAAGCAGAAACAGGAAGAGTGGGCAAGGTGTCGAGCTGATTTTAATAAAGTCTGGGCTGAAATATATGCCAAGAATTATCACAAATCTCTTGATCATCGGAGCTTCTACTTTAAGCAACAAGATATGAAAAGCTTGAGCACTAAAGGTAATATATAACTTTACACTTCTATTATATGGTATGCGTGATGCTTCTTGTTCCTTTTTTTTTTTTTGGGGGGGGGTGGGTTGTGTAAGTTTTTTAATGTTAGGGAATTATTTTCAATCTATTGCATTTTCCAGAGTTGCTTCCTCCTTTAATTCCACTGTAAAAGTTGTATGGTTGGAATCTTCTCATTTCTTGCACACCTACTTTGTTTATCCCTCTCTTTTATTCTGAAAGAAATCTATGTGCACACTGCATAATTCCACCATAGCTTGCAAGATTTTTTTTTTTTTTAATCATTTTCTTGACACTATCATTTGCTATTTATTTTACAGCCTTGTTGGCAGAAATTAAAGAAATTAGTGAGAAGAAACGTAGAGAAGACGATGTTCTTCTCGCCATTGCTGCTGGAAATAGACGGCCCATTCTTCCAAATTTGGAATATGAGTTTTCGGATCCAGATATTCATGAAGATCTGTATCAGCTCATAAAATATTCATGTGGAGAAGTTTGTACGACTGAGCAGTTGGATAAAGTTATGAAGATTTGGACAACATTTATAGAGCCCATGCTTGGTGTTCCTCCTCGACCTGAAGGTGCTGAGGACACAGAAGATGTTGTCAAGGCAAAGAACAATTCCGTCAAAAGTGGTGCTGCAAGTGTTGCCGAGAGTAATGGTAGTCCAGGTAGTGGTGCTACCATAATGAATTCTAAACAATTAAGTGCTTCTAGAAATGACGAGGAGAATATTCCATTAGAACAGTCAAACTCTTGCAAAGCATGGCAAATGAATGGAGATGGTGGGGTTAAAGATGATAACTGTGTTGACACAGACCATACAACTAGGAAGACTGAAACTTTGGGAAGCAGCACGCAGCTTTGTAAAATGCAAGCTAGTGCATCCGTGCCTGATGGAGGATCAGGAGTCAATAAGCAAGAGCATCCTAATGATCGGTTAGTGAATGCAAATGCCTCATTTGCCACCGGAATGGATCACAGTAATGGAAGAACATGCATTGATAATGCATCAGGTTAGCAACTTTCTTTTCGAATGATGACAGTTCTTGCTAATTACTTCATTGTTCCACTTAAATACTGTGTCCTCAGTTTATTCTTTGTTGTTTGACTGTTAATTTCTGAAAGATGAATGAAACACTGAGATGTATATTTTTTCTGCTAGGGCTTACTCAATCTAGACCTGCTGTTGAGGGAGGACTTAATTTACCTTCATCGGAGGTATGGCTGAACTCCCCATGCAATTTAGATCTACTTGTTTTCCAAGTGAAAAATGCTTTTTTCATGATTTACATTGAGATGATAGCATATGTGGTGGAAAGAAAGAGACATATGTCATTGAAAGTTTTTTAGGACATATAGTTTTGCTGGACTACATTTTATTTTATTTTTTCCCAAGTATTCATCTTATCTACAAGTTTTTCAGCGGTTACTAGCAATTGAAGTCAATTGATTTAGACATTCGGAGCATTATGTTGCAAATTATAATCCCTACTTGTTTCTATTTTTAATGCCTTAGACTATAGTTTTGTCTGTTGCCCCAAACAGTGGAGAGCTTGTTGCATGTCGGTGGTTTACTATTGGCATCATTACTAGGTGCATCATCTTGCTATAAGATTTTGATATTTGTGTCTAATTCCTTAGAAGTTGGCTGTTTGAGGCAGAGTTCTTTTTTACTAATTTCCACTTGACCATTGGTGATAAATTGACAATCTGTTGCTGAAGGTCTGTATGACCTCATCCTCCAGTTGTTTTAGCATTTTACTTGCACCTCAATTTTCTTTTTCTTTTTTTCAATTTCAAGTTTGTTTTATTTTATGATGTTGATTGCGTTTTGAGTCTCCTTTAGTTAAACTTCGTCAATAATATTTACTAGATTTTACATGGCTGTGGCTTTTCAAATCAGTCTGGACTTCAATCTTCCTGGCCTTTTCCATTGATGATTGGCTAGTCTGACTACAGCCTTAATTTATTGTTTTTTAGACCAAGCATTATCGGAAATAATGTACTGAATTTCTTTTTTCAATCACGAGTTAGGGTGGTGATTCTACTAGACTAGGAGCATCTATGAATGGGACCATCACTGAAGGCCCCAAAGTTCAAAGATACCAAGAAGAACCAGTTGGACAGTTGAAGGGTGAAAGAGAAGAGGGTGAATTATCTCCAAATGGAGATTTTGAGGAGGATAACTTTGCAGTTTACAGGGATTCTGGTTTGGAGGCAATGAGTAAAGGCAAGGATGGTGGTATGATTCAACAATACCAAAATAGACATGGAGAAGAAGTTTGCGGTGTAGCTGGAGGAGAAAATGATGCTGATGCTGATGATGAAGGTGAAGAAAGTCATCAAAGGTCATTGGAGGACAGTGAAAATGCTTCTGAAAATGGGGATGTTTCTGGTAGTGAGTCTGCTGATGGCGAGTGTTCTCGAGAAGAACATGAAGATGGTGAACACAAGGTTGAGAGTGAAGGTGAAGCAGAAGGAATGGCCGATGCCAATGATGTTGATGGCGATGGATCTCTATTGCCATTTTCAGAACGCTTTCTCCTAACTGTGAAGCCTCTGGCAAAGTACGTTCCTGCAGCTTTGCATGAGAAAGAAGAGAATTCTCAGATTTTTTATGGAAATGACTCCTTTTATGTGCTTTTCAGACTCCACCAGGTAAGGATCAAAACGTGCATGCGTGCCTTCTTAAAAGACTAAATTGGTTTTTAAGGGCATATTATTTACCTTTTTGGGGCTGTTTGTTTTTGCTAATTCGACAGACATTATATGAGAGGATACAATCAGCAAAGATAAACTCTTCATCTGCTGAAAGAAGGTGGAAGGCTTCAAATGAAACAAATTCCACTGATCAGTATGGCAGGTGAAATTCAGTAGAAATAGCATTTTGTATCAAATTTGAACATTTGATCAGAAGAGCTATGCAATGACCGTGGGCTTCCCTTTTCTTTGGCCTTTTTTTTGTTTTTTTTTCCCCTGCTTCAGGTTCATGAATGCCCTTTACAGTTTACTGGATGGTTCTTCTGACAATACAAAATTTGAGGATGACTGCAGAGCTGTTATTGGAACTCAATCTTATGTCTTATTCACCTTAGACAAGTTGATATATAAACTTGTTAAACAGGTTACATGCATAAATCTCATTCCTCCGTGTCTTTTGCTCATCATTTCATTTTTCTTCTCTGTTTCTTAAAAAGTGTGTGCGTGTGCATGTGCGTGTGTGTGTTAGCTTCAAGCTGTGGCAACTGATGAGATGGATAACAAGCTTCTCCAACTTTATACATATGAGAAATCAAGAAAACCAGGAAGATTTGTGGACAGAGTTTATCATGAAAATGCCCGTGTGCTTCTTCATGATGAGAACATATATCGAATTGAATGTGTAAGAATTTATTGGTTTTGAATTTTTACATATTTAAATTTAAATTTGCTTTGGAAATGGATTTGTAATGGCAAGTTGCATGTTTTTTCTAACTAAAAAATTTATTTCATATTCTCTGCAGTCATCTACACCATCCCGATTATCCATTCAACTGATGGACTATGGACATGATAAGCCTGAATTGACTGCCGTGTCCATGGACCCAAATTTTTCAGCCTATCTGCATAGTGACTTCCTCTCTGTTGTTCCTGACAAAAAGGAAAAGTCTGGGATTTTCCTGAAGAGGTATGATGAATGAGAATGATTGGGGTTGCCATTATGTGTCTGTGCTCAAATCTTATTATTATTATTTTTTTATTCTGCTTTTGTCAGGAATAAACGCAGATATGCATGTAGTGATGAATATTCAAGCCAGGCCTTGGAAGGACTACGAGTTAGTAATGGTCTGGAGTGTAAAATAGCTTGCAGTTCATCGAAGGTATTTAGATAATGTTTTGTTCTGTATGCAGACGCAAATATATATTTCATTCTTTGCTGACGTACTGCCGAGTGGATTATAATATCAATTTGTATTGCCTTTCTGAATTGCCCGCACTTGTAGGTTTCATATGTTTTAGATACCGAAGACTTTTTGTTCCGGATGAGAAGGAAAAGGAAAACTTTGCATCAAAACGGTTTATGCCATGAACAGGCAAAGTCCTCAAACATTTGTTCAAGCAGAGCACAGCGGTTCCGCAGATTGTTTCCTGTTACATGATATTTTCCATTTTGAGCTGAACAAGGTATGCGTTATTCCTTTTATTGCTACACAAGTTATTTTGGGCTTGACAGATTCATACTTATGCAGAATGCATAGTATCATCAAACTTAAATTGATAATAATAAAGTTGTTACACCCTATGGTTTCTGGATGACAATTGCATCCTGCAAACTACTTCCAAGGTGCTAAATCAGAAACAAATTCATGCACATGTTACTATAAAATTTTCTCAAACCACTAATCACTATGCCGTTTCAAAATATCTGTCATTTAAAGCTATTGAAATTCTGAAGTGACATTTCTTTTTGGGGAGGGGATTCTTTAACTCACCACAATATTTTTAGAAGTCAGTCGGGGAACTGGAAAAATTTGATTTTCCACTCGTCTTCTTCCAACAAAACATAAGGCCAGTTTGTTTAACATTCTTTTGAAAAAGTAAGTGATTTTGGTTTAGTTAAACATAAGGAAGTTGATGGGAGCAGGGGGATTTGTTGGGAGAGCCTTATACTAATCATAAAGATTTTGTTGGAAAAATATGTTTTCAGTTTATTTTGATAATCTAAATAAGCTAACAACGCTATTTTTAACACAACTAAAATCACTTTTTTCCCCCCTAACATTTTCTCAAACAAACTGGCGCTATAATCTTCCAGTGATCCTTGATCAAAATAGACGTGAACATGTGGTGTCTTGTTTAAGGTTTCCAGGTTAATCTGTTCTTAAAGCTCCTTGGTTAGCCAAGTTAAACATCTCTAATGACTGCACTTTGTCCTTCAGTAGTTTTGAAGTAGAGCATCATTTGCAGAGGTGAGGAAAGAGAAGGATACCGCACTGAAGCAGTTGAGAAAGGAAAGGGTGGTTTTTTTTTTTTTTTTTGCCTTTTTAACTTGAAATTATTCTTGTATTTTCACATTTCTATACCAGCAGCCAAATAAAAGGGAGATGTAGCATACTGTAACTTGGTGGCTGCTTAGTCACATGTAAATAGAAGTAATTTGTGATGTAACTAAAAGGAAAAATTTTCGTTCCATTAATCCATCCATATTTTTCTCATGTTTAAACGTTTTCTTTTTCTCTTGGCATCTTCTACTTCTTTGGATTTCTTTTAGGTAATATGCTGTGACTACAGTAGGCGGAGAGACTCGACCGGCCAGACAGAGAAACAAAAGCCATTGTCATTGTAGCAAGGGTCAATTAAGGCCAGCCTGTATCTATTCAGTGGGCCTTTGAAGAGTCGGATTAAAATCATCTTTATTTAATTTAATCAATCCAAGTTTAAATTTCTTAATTGATGATTAAATTATAAATTAGTTTTTGATAAATTAATTGTTAGAAGATTATTTTTATTTTAAATTTCATGCTATTAAAATAAAAAAAACATTAAAAGTATAAATATAAAATCAAATCAAATTTGAGCAGTTGGATTTTATTGTGCATGGTACAAATTTGGTGGCAGGTGATAAGCACCCCAACTCGATCCTAAATGAGAGTATGATATGAATTAGGCAATACAAGATAGAAACTTTGCTACCTACATAGGAGGATGGGAAATTAAGAAGGGGAAAAAAAAAACCCTCCGAAAGAATGAAGGGAGGATGAACTTTATTTTTATGATTAAAAATTGAGGTGACTTGTGTCCCATCTCTTGAGATCTCAATATGACAGCAAGGCTATATATAGTCACACTAAAAATTAATGGGTTTAGCTCTTCCTTTATTTTTCTATGTAAGAAGGTTTCAAAAAGAATGCAAGAAATGGAATTGGGAGTTCAAGTGTTGAGCAGTTACCATGGCACAGGATTAGGACCATTCACATGCCAGCATTATCTTTCTTGGCACCCAAAAGGCAGTTAAAAGAACTTCTTTTAAAATAAAAACAAAACATAAAAATAAAAAATAAAAAAAGACACAACATATAATCCCCATTTTATAAAACAAGGGGTATTAGAGTTTGGGAAGAGAGAAATATTCCTAAAATGTATAAATGGAAACCAGAAAGCAAATTAATCAATGCTATAAAATATTTAGCAATAACATTAGAATAGATAAGAGATTGTAGTTTTTTATGACAAGAAATCTTTCTGAAACCTATCAAAATCTCTTAGCAAATTCCTTGAAGAGCTATAGATAGGAGGTATAACTTCATAGATGAGAAAGACATATTTTTGATCTAGACAAGGTTTTGAATCAACTCAACATAATACCTAAGAATGATGATGTTGGAAGAAGTTTTCCTCCTTTTAATCCTTCTAATCCAAATATTCACTCCATGCAAAAACTCATTAGACGGGGAGCTGACATTTTCCAAAGCAAAAGGGTTGATGCCCACTAAAAGAACCCTAATTCAGTTGAAGACAACCTTGCCTTTCTTTCTATCCACTTTTCTCCGAACAGTAGAAGTTCATCCTCTCTCTCTCTGTGTTCTCAGAATGAAGTCCCCTATTGAAAGTAAGGATTCAAATTTGAAGCTAGGAAGAAATAATTTGGGGTGGATTTAAGGATATATATACAAACTAAATAGATTTATTCGCAATTCCATGGGGTTACATTGGATATGCACGACTTTTTCTTACCAACATGTAGTGAAGTGGCTTGCGTAATCTGTAATGCGGACTAACAAACTCAACCCTGATATCCTAAGGCAACTGACGTTTGAATAGATGAAATAAATTGAAATTTTATTCTATCTATGAGATCTCATTCTATCCTAATACTTTTAATGAGTTTTGGTCCATATACAATTATACATACACTTACAACAAACCTATTGTTTATAACACTATAGAAACAATTTAAAATTACAAGAATCAAAATCAAAATTTGATCAAATTGTATTAAAGCATATAATTATAATTTTAATATTAAAATAATTACTATAGAAAATAATAAATTCTAAACTACAATAACAATGATAATAAAATAATGAGAAAATTGGAGATAAATCTCTGTTTGAAAAATTAATTGGGTAATGGTGCATGAAACATTTAGGTCCTTAAATATAATTAATTGTAGTGAGAGAAAGACCAAATTGCACTGATTGCATACTATTGATTCAAAATTCCATATGACTGATTCTAATTGTATATTGAGGATGCCCAATTAGGTATGGATTTTATTATATATTACGGATCCTAATTGCATATTATTTATCTAAACTTGCATATTGCTAATTCTAATTGCATATTATAAATATCTAGTTGTATATGAGATTTTATTACATATCACAGATCTTAATTTTTGCATATCATTGGTCTAAAGTTTCATATTGGTAATTCTAATTCCATATGTGGATGCTTAGTTACATATAAGACTTTATTGCATATCACGGATGCTAATTACATATTATCAACCCAAAGTTACATATGACTAATTTTAATTGCATATTACCTATGCTTAGGTGCATATGAGATATTATTGCACATCACGGATACTAATTACATATTGCCAATCCAAAGTTGCATATGACTTGTTTTAATTGCATATTATCAATGCCTAGTTGCATATAAAACCTTATTGCATATCACAATCCTAATTGCATATATACATATTACTATTTACATGAACGAATTCCTCTAAACTACTCACAAATAAACTCTTATCTAAAATTTCACCAAAAAAATTCTTGTATACAAATTAGCACTATGAAAGGTGATTTGCATGTTATGGGAAAGTATTTACATATTAGGGAGATGATTTGCATATTATGAAAGATACTTGCATATTGTAGACCCCACTTGCAAGAACATAAGAATCCATATACAAGTAAGCATCTTATATATGCAAGTTAAAATGTATCATATATAATTAGTATTCATATTATGCGTTAACATGCAATAAAAACTCATACAAATAGGAATCCGTCATATATAATTAACATTTGCTTGGGCAATATAGTCTCTTTTTCGTACACTTATTGATGTTTGAGGAGCCCACGATATTATATTTATTACAGGTCTTATTTTTCAATTAACTTGTCATGGGAAATTTTTAACGAATTTTCCCCGAAATAATGTTTAAAAAGAAAAAAATTTGGACTGGAAGAGTGACGGAGTGAGTGTGACTGTGAGCTCAGCATGGCGAGCGCCGCAAGGGCGGGTGACACTATCTACTGTGAAATACAAATACTTCCGCGAGGACCGTCCGATATATAGACACGTCATTGATCCGCGTGAATTCGTATTTTCAACGGCTGAGATCAGTGTTGCAGAGCTCCAGAGGGAAACCCCGGGAGAGGGTGGGATCTTCCTGGTCTTCTCTACTATTCCAATGCGCTCGATTTTCTTCATAAATTTTGCTTTTTCAGAAAATTGAAGAATTGTCTTGAGAAAAGCATTTTTCTGAGTGGGGATTCTGAAGATGGAGTCCACTTTGGAATTGAAGGAGCATGTGGAGGAAAATGATGAAGTGGTGTTGAATCGACAGAATGAGGACTATGACGTCTTGGATGAAGAGGAAGATGAGGATGATGACGAGGACGACGAAGATGATGATGATGATGATGATGATGAAGAGGAGGAGGAGGAGGATGACGATGATGAGGATGAGGCTGAGGATGACGACGATGAGGCTCCTGATGGCGAAGATGATGAAGAAGACGATGAGGAAGAAGCCACTGGCGAGCGCGGCGGTGATGCCGACGATTCCGACGATGACAACGACGACGATGACGAGGAGGAGGGAGACGAAGAGGTAACTGGATTTTGCTTCATTATCAGTGCATAATTTTTTTTAGGAAATAGTTAACAATTCGGGGGCTTTTCTAAATCTGGAATTGAAGCTACTTCCTGATTTTTTGCCTAATTTGTACATTTTTTCCTTTTTCCTTTTGCACTGCATTTTTCCCCTTCGGGATGGGTGGGAAGTCTGCCGTGTCCTTATCCTCAATCAGTTCGATTACAATGGCATTATATGGGTAATTCGGGAGAGAGTTTATATATAGCGTAGTTAATCTGAATCTTCTAACTTTGATACCATTATTCAATTCTTGATTGACGCATTGTTCTTAGTTTATAAATCACATGTGTTTCCTTAAATCCTCATTGTTCACTTAATATGTCCTTGATTTCATGTTTCATAGTTCTCTCAGAATATGAGATCACTTTTGCACGACAGACCAAAAAGAGAATCTGGCTTTAGTTGTCGACCAAATGAAGTTAAAGAAACTTGATTTAATCTATGAAAATGTTATGATGTCTATAGTGCACTTCTGGTTTAGGTGGCAGTGGTATTGTTTTGTCCTCAATATCCAGATTCATCAAAAGTTGATAACAAAATCCGTCCGTCAATTCAGTTATGTAATGGTGTTGGCCCTGTAGAGTCATGGTTACTTTCCACTTAACTGAATATAATGTCTCATCAAATCTCTAGTTAGTCTAGGAAAACCTTTCAACGCTTTTAGATGGGTAAAGAAAAAGCTCCCCAATTCCCATAGTTACATAATTTTTGTGTGATGTTAAGCGCTTAATATTTGACAACCTACCCTCGCTTCAGTGCCTACTAGAAGCTTAAATATTTCATGAAGCCTGAGAACGGATCCGTGTGTTTTTTGTCAAATTCACTGTTCAGATGGTTTAGTGAATGGATGGTTCGTAATTAGGCATTCCTTGCAGGCTCTAGTATGATTCATATGATTTACGTCGACAAAACCATCGTAGAATATCTCTGGTAAGGAATCTTAATGCATTAGATATTTGGATAATCTAAATCTGAATGCCACGTCACCAATCCAACCTGGCAGCTTGACTGGATTTGATGCACAGATGGGTTGAACCTGTATGAGCGATATGTAACATGTAGCTGTTAACTAAATCATTTTGTGTAGTGACTGGTGTTTCACTTATTTACGTTACATTATGGATTAAATTTTCTCATATAATGGGAGGGACTTAAAATGTCTATGCTGTGACTCTATTCCCTCATCATGGAGTTCTTGAATTTTGGTGTTGGGGGGATAGAGAGAGTTTATCACTTTGTCTGACACTGTTCCTTTTCAACCTTTGACCCGTACTTCTTAATTAACGACAATATTCATGACGAGTAAATTCTCTATCCATGTGAGTCATTGTTTTTATTTTTATAGATCCCCAATCAGTAAGTTGATTTGATTGGCTGCCCAATTCATTCTTATTTTCTTATTTCATTTTTTTGGTGAAAGATTTTCTCATTTTCTTATTTTATCTGATAAGTAAACATGTTTACTTGAAACTGATGCATATGATGCTAATAGTTGATGAATTTTTACTCATTACATTTACAATTTTTGATGGAGTATTATTAAATATCATGAAATCTGAGTCTTACAATTCCTCATTATATTATCTCTAATTTACTTGCCCCTGGTGATGAAGTGTGCCATAAATTTAGTTTGTCTACATTTGTTTTGCTGCTTCAATGTTGTATTGTTAGCCGTCACTGTCTTGCTTCATTTAAGGTTAACTAGTCTCATGCATAAAACTTGTAGGAGGATTTGGGAACAGAGTACCTCATTCGTCCGGTAGCTACTGCTGAGGAAGAGGAAGCATCTAGTGATTTTGAACCAGTAGAGAATGGTGAGGATGAAGATGAAGCTGAAGATGATGAAGATGAGAAAGCTGAAGCTCCATCAAAAAGAAAGAGGTCAGATAAAGATGACTCAGATGAGGATGATGGTGGAGAAGATGATGAGAGACCCTCTAAGCGATAGAGTGGGGTCCGTTCTTATTTTGTGGGACTTCAACAGATCACAGATAGGTCGATTTCTCACTCTTGTTTTTACCACTTCTTCAAAGAAAGGATAGAATGGGGGAATTGGTTTTCACTCCTTTGTACTATTATGGTTTAGCGCATTGCTAGGGTAGCTTGTTTCATCTGATGGGTACACTTGTCAAGGGTAGTTTATGGGAAGCCACTTTTAAAAGGTTGGTCCAAATTTGTTGGAGCCTAGAACTTAATTTGTCTATGGGTTCCTTTGTGGGCTTTTATTAAGGGTTTCTTGTGCACTTCAATTTCGGATGTTCTGGAAATGTTGGTAGATCCTGCATGGTTTTATTTTCTATTGTTGATCTTACCATGATTCTAAATCTTAGATCGAGTATGTATGTATGTAAATGATTTGATAACTTTAAAAGAAATATTAGGTTTAAAATTATAGAAATAAAAATAATTAATGTATTATTGAAAAAATTTGTACAAAAAACACTTAAATTAGATGTATACAATGAATAAAAATATAAATATGTGTAAATATAAAATTGTAAAATAATATTGATAATTTAAAATTAAAAATATTATAAAAACATATTAAAAATTATTTTCATTGAAAAAAAGCCTATTTGAAGAAAATTAATTTTTAGAAGTTTTAAAATCTGACTTCTAACCTTACTGATTTTTGGGATTTAAAGGGACATCAATGTTATAAACTTAGGGTCCGTTTGGATCAGCGATTGAAAAAGTAACTTATTGAAAAAGTAGCTTATGGAGAAGTGAAATTAAGTAAAAGTTAAATTGGATAAGCTGAATTGTGTTTGGATTGGAATTCAGAAAAGCTAGTTTGTAAAAGTGAGATTGATAAAAAATTGTTTGGATTATAGTTGAGTAAAAGTAAGTTTGGTTGTAAAATGACCAAAATAAGTATGAGTTTTAATAAATAATGAAACATGATAAAAAAATAATTTCACATAATACAATGAAATTAAAATAATTTAATATAAAGAAATCAAATTTAATGAACGAATAAATTTTAAAATTTTAGAGAAATTATATAAGATATTTTAAATATAAAGTGAAAGATGAAAAAAGATGAATTAAGATAATATAATGAAGAAGTAAAATTTAATGAGTGAATTAAAAATAAAAACTTTACAGAAATCATAAGAAATATTTTAAATATGAAGTGAAACATAATAAAAAAATAAGTTGATATAATAAATTTAAATTATTTCAAAACTAGAATGTTTATAATTATTATAAAAGATAAATTTGCTTTTTATGTAAATTTATTTTTTATGCTCCCCACCCCACAAAAAAAACGCCAACCCACCCCTCTTTCTCTCTAGAGTTGGGAATCAGGGCCAGCCCTTCAGGGCCGGCGGGCTTAAAAGGGCCGGCCCTCCAGGGCTGAAATTTTAACAATACCCCAATTTGCTAGGCCTGGCCTTTAAGCTACAGGGTGAGGGCCGACCCGCGGGCTTTTGGCCCGTTTAAGAAAAAATACTATTTTTTATATTTATCATATTTTTTTATAAAAATATAAAAACAAACCAATGAAATTATTAATAAAAGACACAAATATGAATAAAATTAAGTCACAAATATAAAATATCATCATATATTCATCAACATCTAAGAACATCTAAAACATTCATTAACAAGATAACAACATCTAAAAGTTTTATCTATAATACAATTGTGCAATAAATAAACACTATCATTAATCTTTTGAAACTTCATCATCACTATAATTAATTACTTTTTTTCATAAGTATGCTTTTCTTTCGTAACAAAAATATCAAGTTTTTCTTCTTTATAAGAATTTTATTTTTAAATTTTACAATCTAACTATTATTTTACTTTAATATAAGAAACATTATTGTTGAAACTCATGAATTTCTAATTCAAATTATAGAATCACAAGTTATATAAGTATAAAAATATTCTATTATCAAATATATATATAGTTTAAAAATATCAACGCATATAATATAAATCAAATCATTATTAAAGTCCAAATTAACCCATTTTTTAAAAATTTAATTGGATAAATTATTGTCTAAAACTAAATTTAATTTTAAAATGATAATAATAACTAAATATTTGAAATATTATTAACAATGTAAAAAATTAATAACATTAATATTATATAAAAAAATTTAAAAAATAAAAAAAATTATAAAAGGGCTTAAAAGGCCGCGGGCCGGCCCTTTTAAGCCCTCGGCCCTCCAGGGCTAGCCCTCCAGGACTTATTTCTCATTTTAAGAGAAAAATATCAAGCCCGACCCTCATAATTTCAGGATCTAAATGGGCCGGCCCGATGGGCTCGGCCCGTTTTTCCGGCTCTATTTCTCTCTCTCCCCCCTTCTCCTTCTCCTTCCTAATGAACGAAAGCTCCCACGCCTTTTCTAAATGAAAGCTCTATAGCCCACTAGTATCACTACCTCCGACCCTTCGTTTTCTAACGTTGTTGCTTCTGATAAAAAGAGTTGAGAAAGCACGATGACACAGCAGTAGACGCGTTCACGGTGACGACGTGATGGAGCTCACGGCTGCGATGCTCTGCCTTTTGTCGATGGGAGGATAAATGAGATGCTTTCAGATATAAGAGAAAGAGAGAGAATAAAATGAAGGAGACTCCTACAAGCACGATGAAAAATCAGAAATAAGCTACTCACAGCAGCTTCTCCAATCGTGCGACTCAATCTTACTTTTCAGCCATATGTGCGATGAACCATAAGCCATGCCAAACAGGTCAAAATTACAGATCGAGCTTATGGTACCAATAAGCTACTTTTAAGCTCCACAAACGCCCTGCCAAACAGGCACTTAATAAGTTAGTCGTTGAGCGCATTGCTTATCCTCTCTAAAGGCATGGTATAAATAATACTTTTTTGATTTTTAATATAGAACTTAATTAGGAAGTTGATATTAATTTTGTATACAAGACTTGTTTTACATATTTTTCAATTTTTTTCTAAATTAATCCTAGTGATATTTTCTCAATAATAATTAAGTAGAAGTGGAAGAAAGGAATTGAAAAAGATATTTATGGTATTTTAGAAAAAACATATCATATTAACTAATTTAACTAACATTAATTTACACAAATTAGTTAATTAAGCTTTATATTAAAGACCTGAAAAATAATATAATACTTCTCCAATCCTTAATATAAGACCCATTTAACTAATTTGATTAGATTAAGAAAGTTAGATAAGTTAGTTAATTATAAGAAAAGTGATATATTTTTCCTAAAACACCATAATCATCTTTCTTAATACCTCATCTTCCTCTTCTACTTGATTGTGGTTGAAAGAGTATTTATAGGGGTAATTTAGATAAAATTGATAAATATGAGAAATGAGTCTTATATTTAGGACTAAAACCAACTCAAAAATTGGGTCCTATATTAAAGATCGGAGGACTACCTTGTCATGAATATTAAAGAGTGTGTAGTTGTACATCTCCTTTTTTTTTTTTTCATCTTTTCCAAGTAACTCCCACTATTGCTCTACTATTTCATTAATCTTATAAACTCAGCTCCCACTCAATTTCATGAAATTTATATCTTCTTAATGTTCCACTATTTTACATTTAATATTATGAGACTTTTGAGTTGTGAAACTGTATTTACAAATATATGGCTTGTATTATGTACTTGAGACCTTGGAAGTGAATGGGAAATATTCTCACAATCACTGATCTCTTCTCTCCAATTTTTCACTCTTCTCTACAATTCTTTTATTCTCCCGTTGAAATTTGGCTATTTGAATGCTATAAATAATACAATCCTGAAGGCTAATATTTCAAATATCTTATATTATGAGAAATTTTCAGATCAAGTTGTGTGTGGGTTGATTCATTTTTAGCTCTTAAACCTGAACTGTACATGCTGATACTCCAAGAAAAATAAGAAATTTGTAACAAAAATTTAAGATAACATATAAATATTACTTATATTTAAAGATAATAAAAAAAATGTAAATTATTGCTTATAAAAAGAAAGGAAGGGAATGTTGTGCATTTGGGATAGCAAATGTGTACATTTGCGGCGGCAAACTGTACAGAAGCCCCAAATTGCACTTTTGAGTCTGTTGCTCCTAGCTTGAGCTTTTTTACCTTCTTCGTTTCTGGTACCTACAAAGTCAAAATAGTAATGTGTAGCATCAAGAGATTCAAGGAATCAAATCTAAGAGTAACTACAAAAACACGTCGAGCATGCAATTTTAAACCAAAGATTCATGCAGTCACACTGTTTACCAAAAAAACAATAAAATAGGCACTAATCCTCAACAATCCCAACTAAACACATCAAAAAGATATATTCAAAAGTCATTCAATCAATGATCCATTAAAAACACAGCGACAATGACACAAAAAAAAAAAGCAATAAAAAGACCATAATGGTTAAATATGTATTTAAAATAAAATTATATATACTCTTTAGGCAAGATCAAGTGGGCTGAGTAGCATACTATGTTCAATGGCAATTGCTCGATAAGTAGCCCGCCTAAAAACACCCAGTTTTTGTTCAGATTGTTTTTTTATGGTCAAGGCTAAACATTATTTCTATAGAACTCAAGCGGTACCGACAGAGATTGGATCTAACGAAAAGGATTAGTTCCTCACAACGTGACGAATTAATATTCAAATCCTAGTTAAGAGAGGTGTCCACATTTAGTACCTGACAGTATCTTGAATATGATTGTGTCCAATAGGAAGATACATATATTTTAGGGGAAAAAAAAACTCAACCGAGTAGTTTACCCAAAAAAAAAAACAAAGAACTCAAGCGGTATTATGCTAAGTGAATACTCGTAGTATCTAAACCCAACGCCTTTTTATACAAGTAAAACCATATCACAATCCTAATTTTATTTTAGTTTGTGAGCAATGGATCAAAAATTTGATTTTATTCCAAGTCAAGGATAAGTAAACTATAGCAAAGTTTTTTTTTTTGGCCAAACAAAACTATAGCAAAGTTGAAACTTTGATTAAGGCAGGTAACATTTTTTTTAATATTCAGATAACATTATTCTAATAATAGCCTACAAACTTTATCATGTCATTGATTTTTCTTTTAATTTAATTACAACATTACAGCAGAGTAATACGGATGTACCAATCATGGGAATTGGCAAGTTATCCGACATATATTTCTGACATTGCTGAGGTGACTGGATTGAGCTGGCCTGCTGCCATTTGATCACAGGAACATGCTCGTTGAATAAAATCGAATAAAATAATGCAAACCCGTTTCGCTTGCTCTCATCCACTTTCTAACCTCACAAACGACAGAGAAATTGCTTTCGAATGCCTTCTTTTTCTTTTTTTTTAATCTGTTTTATGAGCTAATGACGAGGAAAAGTTCCCATTTTTTAGCTCATGTTACTGTCTCTGGATTCGATTCCTTAACCCTTCGTTCTCTGTTCAGACCTAACCTGATAAATAAGTAATCTCTCGTCAAACGAAGAACCCTCCTGGGCTTTCGCTTTGTGGGTTTCAATTCGGTTGCTTTCTCTCGAAATCGACTTGTCTGCGTAATCCCTGTGTGGGTTTATAGCAGATTGACATGGCTCTCTCACGCTTAGCTTCTTCTTCTTCGTCTTCTCGATCCAGTCTCGTGAAACCCATCTCAGCCGCTTTATCGTTCACTTCTTCTCTCCGCCGTTCGCTTTCTTCCTCCGCTGATGACTCCACCTCGCTCACCATTGAGACCTCCCTTCCGTTCACCGCCCACAAGTGTGATCCTCCCTCACGGGCCGTCGAGACCAGTCCTAAGGAGCTCATGTCGTTTTTCCGCGACATGGCGATGATGCGACGGATGGAGATCGCTGCCGATTCTCTCTACAAGGCCAAGCTGATCAGAGGGTTCTGTCACTTGTATGATGGCCAGGAAGCAGTGGCTGTAGGTATGGAAGCTGGAATTACGAAGAAGGACTGCATAATTACAGCTTATCGCGATCATTGTATATTCCTGGGTCGCGGTGGAACCATGCTGGAGGTCTATGCGGAGCTCATGGGTCGTCAGGCTGGTTGCTCAAAAGGCAAGGGTGGGTCTATGCATTTCTATAAGAAGGAGAATGGATTTTATGGTGGTCACGGCATTGTTGGAGCTCAGATACCCCTCGGGTGTGGATTAGCTTTTGCTCAGAAATACTCGAAGGATGAGAATGTAACCTTCGCTTTGTACGGTGACGGAGCTGCAAACCAGGGACAGTTGTTCGAGGCACTTAACATGGCGGCGCTCTGGGATCTACCCGCAATATTGGTGTGCGAGAATAATCATTGTAAGTAGATTAATTGATTTAAGCAAGGCAGTTCATTTCACTGAATTCAAGTTATTTTTGTGTATCTGTGGCTTGAATTTGATCTGACGGAATTTGGTTATCAGATGGAATGGGAACTGCAGAGTGGAGGGCTGCTAAGAGTCCGGCCTACTACAAGCGTGGGGATTATGTTCCTGGATTGAAGGTTAGAATGAGCTTATGAATCATTTTTAACTTTGCTACATTGTTAATTTTGCCGGATACTTGTGTCCTTGTGATCTTTATGCTACAATTTTTTGTTTATATTTGTTATTCATTAATTAAGTTCATGTTTTTCTGATCGCCCCCATCGATAACAAGGTTGTGCTTGATTACAGAAAATATAAATGATTGGCAAGTGCTTTCATACAACTTTTGAAGTTAGAGAAACCCTTTAATCGAGGATTAAAAGAGTTTACACTGTTCAGTGAATATGTTTTCAAATCATCATTCTTGATTATTATTTGCTGAATGGTAAAATCGTGTTTTCCTCAATTTTTTATATTAAAAATGGTAAAATTGTTTTTAGAGATGCACTTCTATTTATAGCTGTAGAATGATGACGGCTTATTTCCAGCTGTGTTACGGAGGCGTCAAATTTTTTAGATGTTCATTTGCCAAAATTTAATGCAACATATGCTGCTGATGCCAGCACACAATTGTGCATTATATTTGGTCAAGCCTGTCCTCGTTGTAATTTCTCTTAATTCTGAAAACATTGGACAAATAGGTAACTGCGGTATTGTATTGTGTGATATTGTTTTTGTTTTGCTTCTTATTTGAAAATTAGTATCTTCCAAGTTTGCTCTGGTAACTTCTGAAAGTAGAAAATTATTCAATTGGCATTGACCAGCTTTTGAATGGTGTGCACTTGTGTTCTTGAATGGTGGTGCTGGTACTCTGGTGTTCTTCATTTTTGTTCTTGTTAATACTTTTGTGGAGTTCTTTTCTCTTGAAGGTTACCATTTCCAGACCTTCTTGTTTAAACCCGTAGGATTATGGTGGCTTTATGTGGTCTGAACTGTTAAGTTGATTTGGTTTTGTGAATATGTGTTTTGTTAGCTTAGTTTTAGCATGTGGGATATCAATCCATATATGGAATATTTGCATATACGTATTCAAGTGAAATTGTGTGTGCGCATGCATGCCTGGTTATGCGTATATGTGTTGTCTGGATTGAACGTATTCTTCTAAGGCTTTCTTGCTTTATACAGGTGGATGGCATGGATGTTCTTGCTGTGAAGCAGGCATGTAAATTTGCCAAAGAGCACGCTTTGAAGAATGGACCCATGGTGAGTAATATATGTGCTATTATATATCTTTAAAATTTCTTTTGAATTGGCTGACTTGTGGAGACCAGGATAGTATTAGATGCCTAAGTTCCATGTTAAGTAGCATGAGGTGCTTTTTAGGGTATCTTAACCAGTTGGTTTTCCCACCTTTTTGGGGACAGTTCTTCATCTCGCTTGAGGAGTTATCAAATTTTATTAGATCAAGTGCAATGACCACAGAGAGAGGAAGAATTCCATTGAGAGAGAGGATTTTTACCACTTTCTGTACACCTTTTCACCTTTCCCTTTTTCCCCTCTATAGAATATCCTTCTCTCACTTCTTGCCTTTCCACATCTTCCAATTCTTATAGCAAATGCGAGATGTCCTTGATGCCTTGCCTTCTACCTCGTGCCAGTTGTGCATCCATACTCACCAACTTGAAATGCTGCTTCAATGGACATTTCCAAATGATCCAAATGATGGGAATTTGTGGCATTGCTTCATCCAGTCCTATGAACCAATTGCTTCACCACAATGTCTAAGGCCATAAATGCGGAGGCATCAACCTCAGTATGCAATGAAAGCACCCATACACAAGCACGTAATCAATGCACAAGACTCACTGTTAAATTGAATCTGATTGCAAACAAACAAAGGCTTCAAACACATTTAGAAGCATGTATTATAGATTAAAGCAATGTAATCAAAGGAGGTAAGAACAATCTTGCTGAATCAGAAAAGGAAATACTAGAGGCAGAGGAAGAATTCCAGAGAGAGGATCTTCAACGCTTTCTTCTCACCCTTTTACCTTACACTTTTCCTCATCTTATAGAACAACCTTTCTCTCACTCCTTGCTTCAACCTCATGTACCGCCTGTGCGTATGAACTAACCAACTCCAAATTCTACATGGTTGTAACAGCTAGTGATTGATCATTCTGGAAACAACTACTTGCGAGGGGTTTTGACTGGTGAGGAAGTTGAGTGAAGTGTTATGGAGTGTATCCACTGGAATGCCAGTAGTGCAAGGGCGCATATTGATGGAGATTAAATAGTAGGGATGTACAATGAAATATTGAAGTGGATTGATTTTTCTACCCCAAGGAGGGTTTCCAATTTGACTTTATTATCCCTGCCAACAGAAGAAGGGGTGTTTCATTTCTAGATTAGTAATTAATAATTACTCAAATACTCAAATTACTAATTGGATGATAGTTATCTTCTAGTAAACTTTTTACACCTGGAACAATTCTTTTCATTCTTCTTCTTGGTTTTCTATATGCAAGCACTGCACATCCAGCGGACTTGGGGATGATGTGGTGTGATTTGTGTTCTTGCCTGCCCTGGGTGTTTGTTATTTGATGAACATTACTTGCCTATTAGCATAAGACGTGTTCTGGGAAATAATGGCTTTTTGTATTTTGTGTCACTGTACTACCTAGAAAATTTTTAGAAGGTAAAATATTCCATTATAAGTAAATAGGTTGTTCTGGCGCATTTTCTGGATCAATTTAACCTCCACTGCAAAAAAAGGGGGGAAATAGGAAAAGGAAAAACCTCTCCAAAAATTATGGACAGGTTAAGGTGCACTCAGCACTCTGAAATATTTTCTCTGATGCGTCCAACATTTTGAAATATTTTTTTGTGCATCTGACACTCTAAAGTATTTTTTTCAGTGCGCCCAACAGCCAAAAATATTTTTTGGTGCATCTAGCACCAACACAAAAAAAAAAAAAGGCTTCAGGATGTAATGCACCTAAGAAATACCGTGGGGTGCTAAATGCATTACAAAATATTTCAAGGTATTGGATGTACCTGAGAAAATACTTCATGATGTTGAATGCACCTTAACCCAAGTATGGACTTTACTGTCTGCTTGAGAATTCTGTTGATTGATCCCAACTGACAGCTATAATACTAGTAAGAAATGACTGATGATACGTAGTTCATGTTTCTTGAGTCAACTGAAGACACCGTCACACGAAAAGCCATTGAGAAGTTGGGCATTCTTCTGCACCTCTGTTTCAATATTACTTTTCCCTTTGAAAGATTTTGCTGAAAAGTAATTCAATGCTGTATGGCCTTGGGTAATTGGTCTAATTCTGGCAACTCATTCATTTAGAAGAATCCCTAATATATGAGAATGCATCCGTGGATCATATGTCATATTTTGGGCGTATGCGGCTTCTTTTCCCATTAGTCACCGGAAGAAAAAGATATTTATTTTCAATGACTTTGAGTTAGTTAAATTTTGATAGCCTTTGCTTTGACATCCAGCAGGGCTGGATGATGTGTATGCACTTCTCATCAATAGGCATAAAATTGACTATTATTTGGTAATTTGTCACTTCTTATTATATTATTGAAGCTTCTTTATTCAGATTCTGATTAATTTCTTCATCTCGATTGTTCTATTCAGATTCTTGAAATGGATACCTACAGGTACCATGGCCACTCTATGTCTGATCCTGGTAGCACATACCGCACGCGTGATGAGATTTCTGGCGTGAGACAGGTTTATTATACATTCCTGAATCAGGCATGCTCTTATTTTTATTATGAGGAGTTCACTTTATTCATTTCTTTGTTTTCTTTATTAATATGTTTGTAGGAGCGTGATCCAGTTGAGAGAGTAAAAAAGCTGCTAACATCACACGATATTGCTAGTGAAAAGGAACTAAAGGTGATTTAATATTAAGTTTGTATTTGTCCTTGATTAGTTGATCCTTTCCTGCATGAAATAACATATCAGAGTTGTTTTTGTGTAAATGATTCATTTTTTGGTCTCATAGTTGTCATTAAACCCTTGCAATTTTTTCTTTTTAACATAATCCATGAGCAAAACTATTCCTTATTTTGATATTGAGCATCTGGAATGTTGGACCATAATCTTTATGTAGTAGATAATTTAGGTCTTTATTTTTCCTAGCAGTTGTTTAGGAGTTCTCTCAATTTTATGAACTAGATTTCAGGCCTCATGCTTCACATGAAGTCTAAGGCAAGGCACACCGCAGACTCTTCACAACTTATAAATTATACGCTTTCCTATTAATTTTGTATTGTATATTAATATGTTGATATTTGATAGTTGACTTCCCAATCTTTTGTAGCTTCAACAATTTTTCTTCCTGGTAGATTCTAAGAATTACTTATTTGAACAGGAGTATCTAGTCTATCTTTTTATGTTGATGAAGCTAATGACGTTGAGTGCACTTTATTATTGTAGGACATTGAAAAAGAAGTCAGAAAACAAGTTGATGAAGCTATTGCTCAAGCAAAGGTGAAAAACGACATCTTTAATTGTTTCTACTCTTACATATCCGTTGAAAAACACATTAGTTATTTTCTGTATGATTTTAAGTCTGATAGTTGTTTTTTCGGATTTCCAGGAGAGTCCAATGCCTGAGCCTTCCGAACTTTTTACCAACGTATATGTTAAAGGTTATGGAGTTGAGGTATTTTATTTAATCTCTATGCATTACATATTTGTCAATAGGCCATATTGCCTTAGCGATGCCAAAATAGACATATATCTGAACTGTAAATATTCGAAGTATGTATGGTTGATTAGCTTAAGAATAGAGAAAAGAAAATGTATCCAGTTTTTTTATTCAGAAAAGACTGGATATAGTTGGACTTTATGTTCTTAGCCAGTTGAATTATCAAGGTAAGGGAAAAGATGAGATTGAAATTTTGAAGGGTGCGTAAAATTAGACTTGCTGCTGTAGTCTTATTCAAGCAATATCAGTATTTCTTTGTAGATGGTGGGTGATAGAGCCGCTACATTTTAAGATGGGGTCACATTTCTTGCTAAGACCTACGGTAGGCATCTTCTAAGGAAAATGTCTTGAGGAAGACTAACACTGCTATTCAAGAGAAATATACTATACTGCTATTCGAGAAATATACTAAGGTTTATAATCAAACAGGGAAAAAGGCTGCAGAATAGTGAGGGATTAGATGTGACTTAGGGTATGGGCAGTGTTGTAGTAGGTGAAGGTAACTTTCTGGTTTTCAAACTTCACCCCTCGTATAGAGAGAAAAGGTTCGATATTTTAAAGTGTGGTGTGAGGAGAGTTCTGGCCTCTTGAACACCAGAATCACGCCTTATGTGTGTGTGTTCTTTTTCTGCTTCACTTGCAACTGTATTGTGAGTAATTTCTGGGTGCGATACGGCCTTGGGTTTAGCTAAAATCAGTACCTGTCTCGTGGGAGTGATTGTATTTTGTCATATATTAATGTCAAACCCCAACATTTCCTTCTGTCCCTCTCCTTTTTCTTTATCCCTTTTTTTAATTTTTAATTATTTAAGTGTTGGAAAATATTTTCTGGCTCCTATCTGTGTGCTATATTTAATTTCTGCAATTGGTGTTCTGAATTTCAGGCATTTGGGGTTGATAGGAAAGAAGTTAGAGCTAGTTTGCCGTAATGTAATTGACAGTCTGACACCTTATCCAGCAAATCTCCATCCTGCTCGGCATTGTTCGTGGCCAATTGAATAAACAAAGAATAAAAGATTCTGTGGTAGAAGGTGATCTCTCTGCCGTTCATGTGAGTTTCCCCTACTCGTATAGGAAATTGATTCTTCTGTGGGTGTGGTGAGGCCATGTAATTTTGCCATGTTACTTTGGAAGAGCTAATAGCCATAACATTGCAATGACTGATAATGCTTCTCCTGCATCGGGGAGACATGCATATTTGAGGGAGCTTAATGAGCTCAACTCCCATGACAATTAATAGATCGTCACCGGATTAAGTTTCGATGAACCATTTTGTTGGGTATGTACTATGAGTTACTGATAATCTACAAGGTTTTCAAGCCTGCAAATCGCAGATAATTAATGATTATTGTGTCTCTTGTAGCTTTGATTACGTGAAGGGGATTTTTTCTTTTTTAAACTAAATTTGCTGCGCAAAAAAAAAAAAGAAAGAAAAGGGATTAAGCTAACAATACACGGATGCATAAGCAGGTTAACAATTCTTATTCGCTTGGTTTACTTATCTTTTGTCTATGGGTTCTACACTAAATGGTTCAGTCTTGGAAAAGCAAGATTGGTCCGAGGCATTTATTTTTTATAATGAAGTTAAAATGAAAGCATCATTAAATCTACACCTCCCTAACCCTAAATATTAGTTCAGGGGTGAAGCCTCTGGCGGTGACCGGATTGGTTACAGTGACGGTAGTGGGGTTGAGGACCTTGCTAAAAACTTGGTTTTAATCCGTACATCTCGGCCAAGTTGATGGGTCTACATATACTAAAATGGCTTGAAACTCTATTGGATCAGGGATATAGAAGAGTCATGCCATGTGGTGACTAGGTGGTGTTGAATCTTCTCTTGACATTTTAGCCACCGACATCTAAAGGATATCTGGAAAAAGGTTATGAACATCATCACTTGCTTCTAGTCTGTTATCTCTGAGCATGTTCTCTAGGTGAACTCTTGTGACAATGGGCTAGTTCAGAGTTCTCAACACGTATAAGGGAATTTCCTTTAAGGAAGACATTTTATTTTATTTCTTTTCTCGTACCCTTTTTAGGTGTAGGGAATTTCTCAGATATTCACGGATGTATTGAGCTTAATATTCATAGGCTTTCATTCTCCTCTCTCGTATGTTCTTCATCATAGCCTTTGTTAATTTCAGGGGAAGAAAAATCTTTCCACTGCTCTTTCCCTTTCATTCTTGGCATCGTTGTCTTTTGTTTCTCTCCAAATTTTTGCCTTTGTTCTCTCATTCCCAATCTCTAACTTCTACTTCCCCACTGTCTCTTTCTTTTCTTTTGTTTTTGTTTTTAATGCAAATGAATGGTGGAGGTCGAGCTCCTAATTGGGCATGATCAGGTCTCTTAGCATTATTAGTGCGTCTCATTTGAGCCTCTCTACATCTTCATCTCCATTATCCTTATATGGTTTTCTAGGCATTGACAGTTTCTTTGAAGTCAGATCTTGAGATTTTCTTGCAACAAACTTCGCATTTCTAGTTTGTCTTTTTTTCTTTTGCTTCTTCCATTATTTGGATCTGCAATTTCCTTTCTTCGGATTCTCATTGCTGCATCTCTTTTATCTTCGTATTTTTGGATTGTGTGTGTATGTTGGCTCATGGTTTGCGTAACTGAAGTTTGGGTAAAATAAGTTGGGTCCGTTTAAAGTAGAAAAAATAATTTATTTTTAATCTGACTTATAAAAAAATCAGATTGGGTACAAGTTAAATTCAGCAATATGATTTATGTCTGAACAAATTTTTGTAAAAGTTAGTTTGTAAAATAAAAAAGTTGTTTGGATTATAATTGAGTAAGTAAGTTTAGTTTGTAGAATGACCAAAATGGGTATGATTTTTATTAAAAATGAAAAATGATTAAAAATATGAATTTACAAAATATAATAATTTTAAATTATTATAATAGAAAGAATTTATATTTAATTAATAAAATATATTTAAATTAGAAATCATAGTAATGTTAAAATTTTTAAACTGAATAATATTACATAATTAATTGGATGATATGTTCCATATAATTTATGTAAATATAAAATAAAATAAAATATTAAAAATTAAAAATTAAAAATATTATAAAAACTGTTGAAAATTATTCTTACTTTAGAGAATATTAAAAATAAATAACTAAAAACTCAATGAGAAATACAAAAAATATATAGAGAGAACTATAAGAATAACATAAATATAAAGGTAAAATATTTTTTAATTCCAAAAAACTACTTTTGTATAAGTTATAAATAAGTTTTAGGTGCTGTTGAAAATAGGGATTTTGACTCATAAGTCAAATTAGTTAAAACCCATGACAAATTAAACAGCCGTCAAATTTACAAACTGGCTTATCACATCTATAAGTTACTTTCTAAAATGCCTTACCAAACAAGCAGATCGAGATTTATGTTTAAATACCATTTTAAGGAAGTCAGATTGACCAATTAAAAAGTTGTTATAATTATATAAAGGGTTAAGGTGCATCCAGTACCCCCAAGTATTTTGTCAGGTGCACCCAATGGCCTAAAGTAATTTATGGTGCAATTTTGCCCTTAAAGTAATTAAAATGGTGCACCGGTATCCCATGCTAATAGATCTGTTACTTTGACCGTTAAATTGATGAGTCAGCACAAGTTTGACCAAAATAATCTGACATGGCATGTCTAATAAGCAGGTGATGTGGAATTTTTTCGGGGTTAAGGTGCATCCAGCACCCCCAAGTATTTTTCCAGGTGCACCCAGTGGCCTAAAGTAATTTATGGTGCAATCTTGCCCTCAAAGTAATTAAAATGGTGCACCGGTATCCTATGCTAATAGATCTGTTACTTTGGCTGTGAAATTGATGAGTTAGCACAAGTTTGACCAAAATAATCTGACCTGGCATGTCTAATAAGTAGGTGATGTGGAATTCTTTTCGTCTGCCACTGCTTTGTTTTCTCTGTTCAGTAAATGCTCTCTTCGACTCTTGGAATTTTTTTCAGAGTAAGAAATTTTTTTAGAGATACTCCTCTGGTCCTATTTATAAGGCACTGAGAGAAATTTTTTGTATGGATGTACAAATTTACCCCTCATTTATTATTGTATTGACTTTGTTTATATGAGGTATAATGTATATTAAATATGGATAAAGTTGAAAAGTTATTAAAATTTAAATGAGAGTTAATGAAATTTAAGGTTTTCCTTGATCTGTGTGAAACATGGTGGAAGTGCCTTATAAATAGGACCAGAGGAGTAATATTCAGACAAAACAATGGAATTAACAAGAAAAGCCATGTCACCTGCTTATTAGACATGCCGGGTTAGATTATTTTGGTCAAACTTGTGCTGACTCATCAATTTCACAGACAAAGTAACAGATCTGTTAGCATAGGATCGGTGCACCATTTTAATTACTTTGAGGGAAAAATTGCACCATAAATTACTTTAGGCCACTGGGTGTACCTGGAAAATACTTGGGGGTGTTGGATGCACCTTAACCCCGAAAAAATTCCACATCACCTGCTTATTAGACATGTCACGTCAGATTATTTTGGTCAAACTTGTGCTAACTCATCAATTTAACAGTCAAAGTAACAGATTTGTTAGCATGGGATACCAGTGCACCATTTTAATTACTTTGAGGGCAAAATTGCACCATAAATTACTTTAGGCCACTGGGTGCACCTGGCAAAATACTTGGGGGTGCTGGGTGCACCTTAACCCTTATATAAATCAAAAGTACTTCTATCTTTGTAATTATCAAACAGGGTAAGAGTATGATGGTTTTGGCATGTAAAATTTTATATGTTGAATGAAAAATTAGTGTCAATATTTCTGTGCTGTTTGCATCAATGTGTGTGCGCGCACGTGCGCAATCGGGGGGGAAAATCGATGTGTTCAAAAGGGGCGTTTGCGTGTAAAAAATTTGAAAGTAAAAGTAATTCCGAGAATGAGGTGCATTTTGTAAATCTACTATTCATGTTCAGTTTAGTTGAGTAAATGGTCTGTCAAAAATAACCAAACATGAGTTTTAAGTTAAAAATAAATTTTCTAGAGTATACTTAGGGCCTGTTTGGCAAGCATCCCAAACCATGGTTTGGGAAAAATGCCAGCAAAACAGCCCCTGAAAATATGAAACCATGGTTTGGGGGCAAACCATGGTTTTGAACCCCCAAACCATAGTTTTATCAGAAGCAACTCTGATCTGCTTCTCGCCTCCAATTACTAAAAGCTCACGGTGGGCCCATGACCAGATGACCAAATAGCCCCGGCTCCAATTATCAAAAGCTGATCAAATAATTGCTCCTCCTCTCCTCCTTTACGCTTTCCCTAGTCGGTCTAGTGTTTCATTCCCCTCGTCCACGATCTTCCTTTCCTCCTTCGCTCTTTCCTCCTTCACAGAACGAGTCGCCGCTGGTGAAGAAGTCGTCGTCCAGCCACAATTTGAAGGTGCCGGTGAGAGAAATCACAGCTCTGTGGAAGAAGATCGCAGCCATCAGTTGTGAGTTCCGGCGCTCAGGTTCGCTGTGAAGCATTCGGCAGTTGTCAGTGTTCCTTGGCTCAGATCCGGTGCTCAGGTAAGGTGGCTCAGATCCGGCGTTTTCTTCTTCTCCATGGCGCCGAAATAGTCCCTACTCTTATCCTCTGCTAACTTTCTCGATGCCTTTGGAGTTTTCATCCTCTTCTGTTAATTTCAGTGTCAATTTAGCTCAACTTTTGTTTCAGTATTTGTGGATTCTAGATCATATTTGTAATTGCAAATTTGCAACTTGCAAGCCAAAACTAGAGCCACCTCTGTTTCTTCCTCTACGTGTTGTGACATCGACCTTCTTCTGCTTTTGGGTAGATTTGCTTTTGTTAATTACAATCTGGGGTTGAGCCTGATTTATGGTATTTTCGGTTGGTTTATGAGATCTGTTTATCTAGCTCCACATCTCTCTTTACTTCGTTCTTGCTCCTTCACAGGACTCTCATACGCACAAGTATACCAAATGCAAATCTTTGTGTTTAATGTTTGAATCATGATAACAAAAATATTCAACATTCATAACTTTTGTCGCATCACGGTTTGTCGTCTGAACGTAGTAAATTTTTTTTGAGTGCTGGCTTAGGGTGTTTGGTTGGTGCTGATTTTGCTTGATTGATAGTTGTGGCTGACGTTTTGCTTCAGTGGTGGGTTGATTTTCATTCGTGGATTCATTTACTTTCGGGGTCAGAGGATCAGTTTTCGATCTATACAATTGACTAGTTTCCAGAGACATATATTTGTAATCCTTATGTTTTATTTTTTGTAATCCTATTTTGAATGAAATTATAGGATGTTGTATTTGTGGTAATTAAAATTAATTTATTTAATTTTTTTTCTGGTCATGAAAGGAATGGGAACATAGTTTCATTTTATGTTGGA